CCAACTGTCCAATAATTCATGGCATGTCTCCAAAATATTCTCTCAAGATATCAGGATGATCAGGAATTATTCCAAAGAGTTAATTAAAAAAGTTCTTTGGTTATTTTTACAAGACTTCAGGTTGACTTTATGTTTTTTTTTGTGCTAAAGTAAGAACTACATGACACTCACAAAACGCGACGCGAGACAAGACACAAAACTTATCGTTCTTACATTTTTCCGTAGATGGGCAGCATCACGCCAGAAACCGGTCGACAGAAAGGAAATTTTTAATCTGTTTTAACGTTGTAAGAACTCATTTGATCGAAGGAAAACAAATTAAGGAAAAAACGCAAGACCGATAAGTGCTGTATCATGACTCGCGTCGCGTTTTGTGAGTGACTTCAAGTTGACCAGGTATTATTATGGAGATCCAAGATATCAGCTTCATCAGAAATTATTCCAAAGACCTTCAGTTAATAAAAGATCTTCGTTAAGTCCTTTGGATAGTTTTGAAGACTTCTAGTTGATCAGGTATTATTATCTCCAACTGTCCAATAATTCGAGTCACTTCTTTAAGATATTCTCGCCAGATAGCAAGCTGATTAATTATTCCAAAGACCTTTAGGTAATTAGAGGTTCAGTATAAGTGGTGCTATAAGAGAATTTGAAGTTATTTCCAACGGAATGCTAAGGAGAGTTTCAAGAGAATTCCCAACTCAGTGATCCTCTTAATGGAATTATGAGAAGATTTTAGAGGTACAATGCAAGGAAATCTTGAGAGATTTTTTTTTTTAATTGTAAAAGGCATACCAAGGTATTTTTGCGGAATATTCCAAGAGAATTCTAAAAAAAATCTGGAGAGAAATTATGCAAATTTTCGCGCAATAAATGATGAATTCAATTTAGTAAATGCAAACATTAAACATTTTTCAATATTCTATGCATAGGAATTCAAGATCCAGGATTTACAAAAAAAAAAAACTGTGGCTTTAAGGAAATACCACAAGTCCCCTCATCAATTAATATATGAGCTAGGTGAAGAAGTGTGCATTTGACTAGTACTGCCGCATTAATGGCCCTTTGCTGAATTTCAACTTCTATTCACTTTTCACACTGCCGTACTCTAGTGGAACTATCAACCTATCCTCTTCAGAACTTTATCTAGCAAATAAATTATCGCACTAAGTTTCATGTAGATATTGGTATAGCATTTCCTCCCAACTCCAAAAAGCCTAAATATTCTGAGACTTCGATTGAGAACAAATTTCAATATCCATAACTATTTAAGATTATGGAGCTAGAAATTTCAAAAATTGCAACAGTAATGTATGTGACAAAAGGCCTCTATAGACGTGCATTCAATATCCCAGAAATGGTGAAATTTTCTAAAATTTGTGACATAAAACGTTTTTATGCTTATAGAATATTCAAAATGCCTGGGACTCTGGGACATTTCTAGCTTTTTTAAGATAATCTCAGACTTAATGTTTGTTATCCTGTACTATAGAAAAGAAAAAAAAAGGGCTTAAAGAAATAAAGTAATGACCCGATTTTAATGGCAAATCCATCTTTTAACTTTCAATAATAATATTTAAGGTATAATATGAAGTTATAAGACCACTGAAAAACCACGTAGGTTTCGTAGAATATTAGAAAAGATTTTCAAACTGGGGCTGACAAAATACGGTCATTACTGTTTTCAATATTTTAAGAGAAATAATTCGATTAATAGGTACAACCGAATTGTTTTTAAAGTTTAAGTTTGAAGTTTTGTCGTCAGTCATTATCGTCCGTATGACCAGGTAGGAAGGATCTCATAGTGAAAATTTAATTTTTTTTAAATAAGAATATTCCCATTCTCTGTGCTCTTAAATTAGCTGTGGATTTCTAACAATAATTCCTAACGTTCATACGAAGAACATCATCAAAATAAACATTTGACAGTTTCAGAACATCAGTTCACTCTCTCCTGTTGCCGGGAACAGTAGCAATAGTTACACATTTTGGTATGAATTACGAGATGGCCTGAATGTTCGATATTAGCTATTGTTTTGTGTGTTTAGTTCATTGTCTGCTGTTAGCTCGGTCAATCCTATTGTTGTTGAGTTCGGAAACAAGCATTTCGTGATGAGTGTTAAAGTAAAGAATACAATTTGCATTCACTTTTCTAATGGAATCTAAAGTCCCTTTGATGAGATTGCCATGTTTGTAAAACCACTGCATTTCCCGCACCACCACCTTTTCGTGATACGTTACTGGGTGTAAGATCTACCACATCGAACTCTGATCCTAAGCTCTTCTTGTTGACTGTTATGAGCCTCGGTTTTGAGAGTCTCTTAGGAACAGAAATTGGAATCATGAAAAAATGGTCTAAGAGCTATACGGAACATTACAATTGAATAAAGATTCTTGTGAGACTTTTTCGATTGACGAAAGGACGCGTCTTTGGAGAAGTCCCTGAACTCTTCAAATGAAACGGAACATCACAATTAAATGATAATTCCTGTGAGATCTAATTTTATTGAAGCGAGAGCATTTCCTTGAAAAGGTCCCACAACTCTTCGAATGATGCAGAACATCACAATTGAATGCGGCTTTTAGTGAGAACCGGAGTATCTATAATAACTGTAGTAAAAACGAATATCTCATTATTTTTCCATAGGTGCTACGGCATGCACTAAACAAAAGACACGAACATATTACAATACATCAATGTGCTGGTCGCAGTGATTATGACACAAACAAAGAAGGAAAAAAAAATTCCATTGGATACGAATCCCAGTCTGATGTAGCAGTTGTTCATTCCTGTTGACTAATGTTCATAAAAACTGCTTTCTCCTCCGAAATGCGGTAGGTTGCTTCCATCAGAACGGCATTCGCATTCAGTGGTTTCGCAAACATGGAAATCTCGCCAAAAGAACTTTAGCAACAATATCGATATGCAGTCCATCACATGGTTCATACCAACTGTTGTAGGTTGTAGGTACAACTGTTCACGGCAACAGCAGAGAGCAAACTGATGTTTTGAAAATGACAATTGTTTATTTTGACGATGTTCTTCGTATGAATATGGAAAAGTTAGGAGTTATGGTGAGATCGTGTTTGAATAAATCGACAGCACATTTAATTTGAGGCTTAATTTCAGTAAGCACATTCAAGAACTCAGGAGCTGAAGAATGTCTGAAGAATGGAAATATGCTCTAATTGAAATTATAGATTACTTACTCTTATAAAGAAGAAGAAATTGATTGACGCTCGTATATGTCAGTCTTATAGCACCTCAATTTACATGATTTTTTTCTATGTTTGTAGTTACCATGACTCACAAAATGTAGCTCTTTTGAATATCCCTTGGCATAGCAGTTTTGTGCTCCAAACATTGATGTTAGCCTTATGTACATGATATGTGATGGCGTCATAAGTTTATCGAATCTCTTCGAAGTTTTTTTCTTTCTTTATTATTGAGAATTGCTTTGAAGTGATATTTTGCATTAAATTTGGAAAAACTTGGTGCAAAAAAGGAGATTAATACATTTACTCTAGAAAACAGTAGAAAACCCTATTTTCCAAATACTTGAATGACAGTCCTGCTGTATACCCTAACGATTCAAAGAATAACAAAAAAAAATCAAAAATTCATTAAGTGACTGCCGAGATATAAGCATGCAAACTTCATATTTTGCATTGGATTTTATCGCGGGTTTATCAGTGTTAATCCACCCAATTTCCGCCAATCGAGAAATATTGAGCATTTATCAAGCGGAAGCTGAAGAAGACTGCATAGATGGCCAGATGTTTGGAAAAGTGTCTGCTGAGGTTGACCAGCAGCGTGTGCAACAGATGATGGCAGGAATTTTAAAATATGTTTAAGATTTTTTTTTTTCATAAATCCGTTGGAATAGCTTTGAGATATATTTTTTTAAAAATGCAATAAAAAATAATATGTTTGACTACATAGAATTTTGTTAAGTCAAACCGATCCCATAATAGAGCTGACTTCTTACTTCCGTATTCTTTCTGGACCATACTTTATCGAAGACAACATATAAAATTTAAGAACTATTGTGTGCCGAGTACCCAAATTTAAATGAGTTTTTCATAGTGTGTTGCAGGTTTTTTTGAAATACAGTCAACTCTCCATATCTCAATATTGAAGGAACCATGGAGCTATGGAGAGATCGGGATATATAACAACATTAGAGTACTAGACCGTTTGAAGGTACCGAGATAGTCATCGATATATAGAAGTGGTCACATATCGAGATATGAAACATCGAGATATGGAGAGTTGATTGTATTTCAATGTTTATGAGTAATCAATAGTCTTTTTTCTTATTTTATTCAACCAAAGAGGCTGTTCATAAACCACCGGATCATGCATTTGGGCAGCAATTAAAACGTTTAAAGCACCAAAACCAGACATGACGAATTGGGTCGGACCTAGCGGACCATCAAAGTGCGACACACTTGCAAATGGCTTGCTTAAATATGCATAATGTATTACAGCATCGGTAGGTGCAAATTTCACAGCTCGTGCCTACGGCAAACGGTCAACAGAATGAGTAACGCAGCAAAACGACAGTTGAAGCAATATGACGCCAAACCATTAATATTAACTGCAGGAAAACAAAACACTACACACACACAAATCCTTCCAACAATTAAGCATCACCCTGAGGCGCGTCTGCGTCTCCTCGACGAGAGGGTACACTCAACTCATTAGGCGGCAGTAAATTTTGTGCAACAGTCAAGATCGATACCAATCACGTCGCCGGCTTGCGGCTGCGGATCTTGCTTGGACATGCAGCAAAAGAGACGACATTATTGCTGACTTTAATCACTGCGCTTTTATGTCGCATTTTTATTGATTCCGCTTCATTCTCATTAGGGACCTTCCATAAATGACGTAGCATGTTGACCAATCTTAGACCCAGTAGCGTATTTTGCTATACCTAATACATGGCACGTCACAACTTGTGAAACCTCCCCCCCTCCCCCTAAAATAATACGTCATTTATGCATGTTCCCTTATTTATTGCTTTTGACGGACTATCTGTGCTTGCTCTCTTCTGGATCTGGTATGTTGTCTGCGCGCCGCTGTGGTTACATTAACGCAGGTCTGACCTGACCTAGCACCAAAAAAATACCAGAATTACTCCGCCTTAGTCAGCAGTGACACAATCCTGTTCTTTTTCGCCAGATCCGATTTGCTATACTCCTCCAGTAACTGCTCACAGATTGAGAGATGGGACGAAAGAAAAAGAACAAATAAGCACAGCAAACATTAAGATCTTCATTAGCAATTTTGCGATTATGTTCCGACCGACCGGCGATCGCAGTTGATGAATATTGTCGTAAAATTGATCGACAGTGAAACGATCTTAGTATACGAGGACTTACCACGATGTCGAAATCTTTGCTCAGTATGGCTTTGGCTTCGGAATTCTCGTAGATGACGGTAACCAGCGTCGGATAGATGACCATATCGAACTGCTTGGGGAGCTTGGTCAGGCTCTTGATTATCACTGATGATTGATCCGAGGTGAGCAGATCCTGAAAGTAGATGAAGCAAGAAATGGTGAGGATATTTTGGAATTTAATAAAAGTTCTCAATAACTCTGTCGAATCTCTAAGATGACTGCAAATCAGCAGACAACTCATCGCGGCTCCAAGAAAATTACAGGACAACACCGAACGGTATTTGTGCTCTACAATCTACCACACTTTCAGCTCACTTGAAATTTTCGCAAACTCATAACAAAAAAAAAATCAGCGTCTGTTTCTTGATTTGCAAATCATCGTCGAAAAAAGTTGTTGCTAGCTGAGGCTTGAATTGCTGGCTGCCGCCATTGAACAACTGCTCCGCCGTTGTTCGAAGGCCACGGGAACAAAACAAACCAGCAGAAATCATCACAAACTGTTCGACCATCAAGACATCAAACTCAGCCCACTTTTTCTTAGCCGGCTGAAGAAGTTTGATGATCTGTCTGTCGGCAGAAAAGAACATAGCTCAGTGAACCGAAGAGCGCAAAGCAAGGAAAGGGGTTGTATGTTTTCCATTGTTTGCTGTGCTCTATATTTATCCCATCCGAAGTAATTGGCAGTTTTCAAGTGAAAAAGTATCAAAATATTTTCTTGTAAATTTTAAATTATTTATCATCCTGCAACATCTAAACAGAGAATGAATCTTCCCGTCTTGCTTATTTTCAGTAAGGCCGCTATAGTGGAAACTGTATTTTCTATCGTTTTGGAACATCTTCCAGCAAATGGTGCATTTGGATGACCGAATTTCACAACTAAGGAAGAATTGCAAATTTCTCTACGCGGTACGGTCGACACCCCGGAATGAGCCACAGTCCAAAAGGTTCGGTACCCGAGCAAAGTTAGAGATCAAATTGAAATCAGAATTTGCTGTTATGATGTAACTTAATTTGAATACTCCATTTGATCTCACTTTGGTTGACTTAACGGTTAACACAGCAAAAATGAGAGCAAAATTTTACACTGTTGAATCAAACGGAAAACTAATTCTGCTTTCAATGAAATCAATTTGATTACTGATTTTGCATTCATAATGTTTGACAGAATACGGGCCTGTCGTAAATGCTTAGCATCCATGCTTCTCACGCTGAAAGACTTGAGCTCAAATGTCACCTCGGGCTAGTCACGAATGACCTAAAATGTGTTAAACAAAACAAATAAACAATAATCGTTAGTTCAACGACAGATGAACTAAAATCAAATTTTAAACAAGAAATTAACAGCAGAACTTCAAGTTAAGTTGCTTTGATTTAAAAAGTCTTGACTGCATAATGATAGCACAATATGATATCAGACTTCTGTCGCGACAATTGAAATCAAAATGAGTTTTCATTATGATAGGAACTGCACACTTTAATATCGATTTGCTTTCATTTTGTTAACCGACTTTGCTCGGGTAGCGTCAGTGGTAGAATGATAAGCGTGACTGTCTCTCACCCCAATTTGTCTGGGTTCAATGCCAGTCGAGATTGTTGAGACTTTTCCTGAGCGGAAAATCTCTGGTCACGTCTGCCTTCAAAAGGTAAGTGATGCCCATGTGATAATGGATTCGATATATAGGATTCAGGTGTGCACTTGCCTTCCTAGAGTCCTATGGCCTTGCTTCACTTCCGAAGAAAGACGCTACCAGAGATACTTCACCTCCGAAAGTGCCAGAAACCTCGGCTGGGATTGAACACAGATCCACTGCACTGGGGTGAGAAAGCAGTCACCCTTACCATTTCAACGTGTTCGCTAGAAAAGTCTAGCACTCTTAGGGATGCCCGGTGTATTTAAAAAAATGTTCAACGAGATCAACGAAATGTCTTCACAAGCCATCACCGCTACTTATGAAAGTTTCGTTCAGTGGAAGGTGTTCAATATATCAGATTTATAAAAAAAATGAGTCTTTGCGGAAGTTTAAGGGCCTTCTTAGAAGACGAGGGCATATCGTTTGATTTCAAAGAATTTTGTAAAAGAACTTCATAGATCTTCAGGAAACTTCGAAGAACCTGATAAAACTTCGTAGGAGTTCAGGGAACTATGCAAAAGTCCTTGAAACTATCAGCAAATTTACAGGAGTTCATCGAACTTTGTAGAAGCTCGGCGAACTTCGTGGAACTGTAGTGAACTTCTTAGAAGTGCATGAAATGTTGCAAAACTAATTGTGTAGAAGTTAAGAGAACTTTTTTCCCTTGATTTGTATTTCGTCGATCTTGTTTTCCATGCTGAGCACCAATGCTACCAACACCAGAGAGGCAGCTCCCACACCTTAACCCTACCATATGAGCCGGGGACGTACGGCTTTAAATCCCGGCAGCGCCGACTGGGATTGAACCCAGGCTTTTGGGGTGAGAGGCAATCACGCTTACCACTGCACCACCCCACTCATGTTGATATTAGTGAAGCATTTCCTTTCAACTTTGTAATTGTCAACTTCACGCACTGAGTAACAAAAATCGGATTTAAAAAATCCTGTTTTTCATTTTACCTTAAAAAACTGTACTGTACAAACTACTGGTTATAATTGCATATGAAAAGTCAACTCTTATCTTACTTATCCTTAATTTATGTAGGAGAAATGGCTCTAATGTTGGCCTATGAATCTAAGATTGGGCCCATCGCTAGAAATATGCTATTTACCAGTTTTATCTAGTTGAACGCGTCATTGGGACGATACTAATGGATATTTTTGGTCTCTATTGAACATTTAGTCGATTGCTGAATTTATGCATGGGCTCAAATTAGGAGCATTTAGGCTGACATTACATCCATTTGCCCTATGTGTTTAGTTTTAGGAAACATCATTAGTTTCGGGACCTTCTTTTAACTTCAGAGCACTTTGGATGGACTTGGGTAATGAACTTGAAATAGTTCAAGTAATTCCGTACATGTAGACTATCAGCTACATTCTTAAAACTTCAGGGAACTTTGTAGAAGTGCAGTCAACTTCATAAAACCTCAGCGAACTTCGGAAAAGTTCAGGGAATTTAATAAAAGCTCAAGGAATATCAAAGAAATTCTGCAACTTTATAGCTTCAGGGTTTTATGTGGGATCTTCCTGAATGTTTTGGGATCCTAGTATCAAGTAAGTTCAGGAAATTTCGTATAAAAGGTTCTGGGTCTATGAAGTTTGTAGAAGTTTATGGATGTTCTCAAATATTTACCAAATTAAGAGAGCTTTGAAAAAATAAAACTTAGAAGAACAATATCAAAGAAGATCAGCAAACTTATTAGAATTTCACAGACTTAGATTCGGGAACTTCCTGAGAGATTTGGGAACTTTTTACTGTCCCGATGATCAGGAAATTTAACATAAAAGTTTAAGATAAATTGAAGCAACAAAAATCTGTCAAATTCTTTAAAAATCCTGAGTCGTTAAGTGTTTTCTACAATTCACATCACTGTTTTTTCAATAATCGTGAAGCAATTGTGAACGCATATGAAATAAAGTGTTACTTACTTAAGGGTCCTGTGCACCACCAGCGGTGTAAAGGGCCAACGTGAAAGACTTCCATCCTGGGCGGCTGCTCGCTTTTGCTTTGACCTGGGCCCAGGGCAGATTCCTATTGACTTGCTTAATTTCCTTATTGAGGCTCCGCCGCCATGAGCCCCTGGGTCTGCCTCTGCTGCGATGTCCTGCCGGATTCCAATCCAGCGCTTGCTTGCAAATTTCGTTTCCGCCCCGTCGAAGTGTGTGGCCGACCCACCTCCACTTTCGCTCTCGAATTTCTGTTGCTATCGGCTTCTGATGACATTGACGATGGAGCTCGGCATTCGAGATCCAGTTGTGAAGCCACCAGGCACGAATTATATACCGCAGGCATCGGTTGATGAAGACCTGCAGCTTTTGAGTGTTCTCCGTTGATACACACCACGTCTCGCTGGAGTATAACAACACAGATTTCACGTTCGAGTTGAAAATTCGGATTTTGGTGCGTTGACTTATCTGGCTGGATCTCCATACGTTTCGTAAACTCGCAAAGGCAGCCCTAGCCTTCTTGATTCGTGCACCTATGTCGCTCTTAGTCCCGCCGTCCGACGCTATTTGGCTGCCAAGATATTGGAAACTTTCGACCTTCTCCACTGCTTGCCCCGCTACCGTAAAGTTGGAAGGGTTGCCCGTGTTGATATCCCACGATTTGGTCTTGTTGACGTTGATGGTGAGACCCGCCGCAGAGGAGCGTTCGGCTAGGTCATTGAGCTTACTCTGCATATCAGAGCGCCGTTGTGCTAGTAGAGCACCATCATCAGCCAAATCGAAGTCGTTGAGATGCTCCATGGTGATAGGCTGCCAAAGCAGCCCACGGTTCGGTACACGGTCAATTGCACCTACCATGATCTCGTCGATTACGATGAGAAACAGTAGCGGTGATAGTATACATCCTTGTCTCACACCAGCGACTACCCGGATAGGGTCGGACAAGGCTCCGTTATGCAGAACTTTGCACGTGAAAGCCTCATACTGCGCTTCGATGAGGTTGACGATTTTATCCGGGACTCCCTTGCGTCTCAGGGCGCCCCACAGATTCTCGTGATTGAGACTGTCGAAAGCTTTTTCGTAGTCAATGAATACCAAATAAAGGGACTCTTGGAATTCATTGACCTGCTCCAGGATGATCCGGAGCGTGACAATATGGTCCACACAAGATCTTCCGGCACGGAATCCTGCCTGCTGCCGTCGGAGAGTCGCGTCGATCTTCTCCTGTATCCGATTCAGGATAACTTTGCACAGAACTTTGAGAACAATACACAGTAACATGATGCCTCGCCAATAGTCGCACACAGTCAGATCCCCCTTCTTTGGGACCTTCACTAAGATGCCCTGCATCCAGTCGGCCGGAAAAGTCGCGGTGTCCCAGATATTACAGAATAGTTGATGCAACATTTGTGCGGATAGCATGGGGTCAGCTTTGAGCATCTCTGCTGATATGCGATCGTCCCCTGGAGCCTTGTTGGATTTCATGCTTCGGATAGCTGCTTCAATCTCCTGCAGTGATGGGGCCTCGGAATTGACGCGAGTGATGCGCCGCACCCTAGGCGGATCATGCCGAGATGTTGATGGCTGGTTGGCCGTCGAAACTTGAAGAAGTTGTTCGAAGTGCTCAAACCAGCGTTTCAGCTGGTCAGTGGGGTCGGTAAGCAATTGTCCAGTCGTGTCCTTCACTGGCATCCTCGGGTTCATCCTTGCTCCACTCAGGCGTCGTGAGATATCGTAGAGGAGGCGTATATCGCCAGTGTTTGCGGCTTTCTCCCCTTCGTCGGCCAGGGAGTTCACCCACGCTCGCTTGTCCCGTCTGCAAGAGCGCTTGACTTCCTTCTCTAGAGCCGAGTACCGTTGACGGGCTTCGTTCTTGGCTCCTCTGGTTCTCGCCCGCTCTATCACGGCTTTTGCTTCTCTACGCTCCTCAATCTTCCGCCAGGTTTCATCTGTGATCCACTCTTTCCTCTGGGTGCGCAGCTCACCCAAGTTGTTCTCGCTTGTTTCTATAAAGGCATTCTTGATGGCCGTCCATTGTTCTTCTACGCTGCCACCTTCTGGAACGTCCGCAGCTCGAGTCTCAAGTTCTTCAACAAAAGACCTTTACCTTTGTGCACTGGCCGATGGGGAAGAGCAAGCCCCCGATCACCATGTCGTTATTGCCACAAAATACTGCAAACAGCTCACCGTTCTCGCTCATTTCGCCGAGACCATGGCGTCCCATGACACGCTCATAGTCCGTGTTGTCGGAGCCGATCTTCGCATTGAAGTCGCCAGTGTAGATCTTGATGTCACCCTTTGGAACCTTATCCACGACGGCATTCAGTTGACTGTAAAAATTCTCCTTGTCCTGAAGCTCGGCAGCATCGGTTGGCGCATAACATTGGATTATGGTAAGGTGTGTTCTAAATCTGGCAACGATTATCCTCTCATTAACAGGCTCCCACTTGATGAGCCCAGCACTTGCCTGGACGCTAAGTAGGAGACCAACTCCACGATGGCGGGGAGCGTTTTCACTTCGAATACCAGAGTATAGTAGTACCTGTCCCGACGGCAGTTTGTGTTCTCCAAAGTTTGGCCAACGAACTTCACTCAGTCCCAGGATTTCTAGCTTCATGCGTCGCGCCTCGTTGGCGAGTTGTGCCAGTTTACTCTGCTGGGCTAACGTCAATACATTCCATGATCCAATTCGTGTCCGTTGTTTTGCGCTAAAAGTCGTTGCCGTTATATCAGTTCGATGTCTTTCTCTGTTGGTTTCTGTAACAATTGTAAAGGTTTCAGAGACAGTAGGTGGTTGGCCTAAGGTCTCCTATCCGCCGTGATGGGGCTGCCATCTTAGGTGTAGCTTCCGGGGAAGAGCATTTCTTATTCAGCCGCTGGATGCCAGTCAGACGCTGTTTGAGCCGCACCTCCATGGTGAACAGACGCTCGGGTTGGCGAAGCATTTCCTCTATCACCGTGCTATGGTTACCGCGCCAGTGTTCGCGTCGCACCTCCTCACTCGTCGGATTGACAACATTGCCCAGGCTACGCCAACCAGTGAAATAAAGTATGCCTTCTTCTTAATTCAAAAACATTCCATAAGCTATTCTAATTCTACCAAGATCTCAGAACATCCATGAACTTCTACAAACTTCTGAGATTTAATAAGAGAATTATTGAATTATTATTATAAAGGGTGATACGGTCAAAATTTGGTCAATATCAACTTGACGTATTTCTTTCAATTTTGCATTTAAAAAACCTGAACACCCCTCATTTTGAAGGTGTGTGTGTGTAGAATGTTGCTCCTATTTTGATTTTGGAATTCACTCTTCAGTTGTCAAAATGCCGTCCAAGCAAGAAGAGCAGCGTATCAAAATTTTGCTCGCGCATCGCGAAAATCCGAGCTACTCGCACGCAAAGTTGGCAAAATCGCTAAAAGTTGCCAAATCAACCGTCACAAATGTAATTAAAGTGTTTGGGGAACGTTTGTCGACAGCCAGGAAGTCTGGATCGGGGGGAAATCGAAAACCGGAAGCCGCTGAGACGACAAAGAGAGTTGCCGGTAGTTTCAAGCGAAACCCTAACCTCTCTCTCCGAGATGCCGCAAATAAGCTGGGTGTATCGTCTACAACCGTGCATCGAGCCAAAAAACGAGCCGGACTATCGACTTACAAGAAGGTAGTGACTCCAAATCGCGATGATAAACAAAATACGACGGCCAAAGCGCGATCCCGGAGGCTGTACACGACGATGCTGACGAAGTTTGACTGCGTGGTAATGGACCACGAAACCTACGTCAAAGCCGACTACAAGCAGCTTCCGGGACAGGAGTTTTATACGGCAAAAGGAAGGGGAAAGGTAGCAGATGTTTTCAAGCACATGAAACTGTCAAAGTTCGCAAAGAAATATCTGGTTTGGCAAGCCATCTGTACCTGTGGCTTGAAAAGCAGCATTTTCATAGCTTCCGGGACTGTCAACCAAGAAATTTACGTGAAAGAGTGTTTGAATAAACGTCTGCTGCCTTTCCTGAAGAAACACGGTTGTTCCGTACTGTTTTGGCCGGATTTGGCATCTTGCCATTACGTTAAAAAGGCCATGGAGTGGTACGCCGCCAACAACGTGCAGGTGGTTCCCAATGACAAGAACCCTCCCAACACGCCAGAGCTCCGCCCAATTGAGAAATACTGGGCTATTGTCAAGCGGAACCTAAAGAAGACCAAAAAAACTGCTAAGGGCGAGCAGCAGTTCAAGGCAAACTGGCTTTCTGCGGCGAAGAAGGTGGACAAGGTGGCTGTACAAAATCTGATGGCAGGGGTCAAGAGTAAGGCCCGGCAATTCGGATTTGGAAAAGCGGAAGCCTAACTGAATATTTTTCCTGAATTTTATACTAATTGAACTTGAAAAAGAAATTTAATTTGATTTTTTTAAATAAACGATTTCACCGATTTACACGCGTTTTCCATTGACCAAATTTTGACCGTATCACCCTTTATTAGAAGAATTATATTTTTATTGATGAAAAATTGTTTTGACTGCCCAACCTATGGCAATATGAATATTATACCTTTAAGAGAGGAATAATCTTCACAGAAAGCTTAGATGAATTCATTTCAAATCAGCGTAATTCAGTTGCACCTATTAGCAATGGAAGAATGCTCCGTTGAAATAATCACAACGGCCAAAAACTGGAGCACCTCTAAGACCAATAAATAACAACTGATGTCAAAACGGGAACTGGAGCTTGAAGTTTGAAATCAATTATTTTGTTTATTTTGATGCAAAATTAGCAGATTTTAAACCGCTTTATAATTCAGAATACATTAAACCATCAATTAAATGGTATTAGTTGCCACACAACACTTAGAGCTTATATTTTATAAAATTTGAAAACTAAATATGCATACTAACTAGTGCCGAAACTGGCTCACCTACCCTATTTACAAAACTGCAAGAGAATCGATTGATCGTTTGGGTGTACTTATCTTGAAAAAAATAAGGTTTAACATTTTTGACCCCTCAACTAACAGTAGTCTCGACCAAATGTTCCAAACATGAACATTCCTACCAACGACAACACGCGGTTCAAGGCTGAAGGATTTCGTTCCACATAAAGGCCGGAAGATGGCATCGAAGCAAAACTACAGATAATGATACGTTTTGTTACGACGATATGACTGTGCTTTTCTGCGGTTGAATACGGTTCTGCGAGGCCTCCGGTTTGCGGCAGTTGGTAAAAACAGAGATAGTAACGCCAAGAAGAAGGGAACATAAAAAACCACAACATAAGAGATATGACCGCCTAAAGGGGGCTTGGGCTAAGGAGAACAAGCGCCAGGCTGCCGTTTTTTAGAGTTCAACATTTTTCGAAATGGCCGCGTTGCAAAAAATGATGAGCGCCCGAGCAGACTTCTTAACCAACTGAGGAGAAAACAAAACATGCACGGGGAAAGGGAAAGCGGAAAACATAAACTAACGAGAATACACAAGTCATAAAAGTAATTTAGATCAGAAAATCATTGCGGCACGCGGTAAAAGCTAATGGAAACGAAGATCGGTGGCGGCGCGGCGGCAGCGAGTGACTGAGGTTGAGAAAAGGGAAGAAAGAAACGCGCGCGCCTTCGCAACAACAAAAGGAACCGGGCAGCTTTTTTGTGGTTGGTTCTCAGTTATTTTCGGTTTGTTCCTTCCCCCTGGGGGCATAATGGTGAGTGCCTCGGCGGACCACAACATCATAAAACCTTTCCACCATCGTAACCAATCTATCCGAGCAGATTTTGAAAAGCGTAAAAATGGCGTCGACGCTTCCAACGAATCTTTCCGCACAGATCTTTATTTTCTCGTTGGATTGACTCAGCGTATACTTAGAACTAATGAATACCCGACCCGTGAGGAAGGGCCCGAAATAGCGTACCTGATTAATTTTATTATTGGCACAGAAGAAACCTAACGTTGCTATTAAGTCGATTATCACAGCCTGGGTTTCACCCTTCTCCTCCGATTTCGGCACGCAGTACTGTAGTAGGATGCTGACCACGTCCAGGAACTTAAACGAAAGATTTTCCTCTGCTAACACGTCCTAGAAGAAAAAGAAAAAAAAGAGCAACAACTTTAGGCTTCGGTTAGAGAACATCCATTTCAAACAACACAAATCCAATTTCAAACTTCGTACGAGCAACGGATAGAGTAAATATGTGCTCGAAGAAAACGATCTAGTCTAGAGGAGAGGAATATCCCATCGAAGTTAATCGATACACAACCCCACAAGAGTGCAAATATCAATTTGCAGCATCTGAGCCATATTTGCCGAGCCAAAAAGTTACTCCGCAGAATCTCCCAGAACCAACATTTCATCAATTTCGTCAGCAGACAGCGGCTTCCGACCTAAGTTCGTTAATGGAAGCGAAATTTTTCCACTTAATTTTTGCCACACACTCATAAATGAAAGATTAAACAAACTTTTCATCTAAATTGAATCAATGACGAAGGGGGATCAGCGTTGCCGGTCGGAATAGGTTCTACGGTTACGAGATAGGTTACGGCATCGACGACGTAGTTGATGTGCGACTCGAAAAGGTAGCCCGACAAACGACGCCGATGCGAAGCGTGCTGTTTAGATAGGATCCAGAGAGGAGCATGTGGTTGGCTAAATATTTGCAAAACATATAGCTTCTGGTTCTAGGGAGGGACGATCTATCGAGAAAAGGGCACCAAAGAAAGGCAGCGCAGTGCGTGCTAGGTGGTGTTTTATAAAGGGTCTGTTAATGAACTACGTAGACCGTTTTAGAGAGAGTTTAGACCCCCGGCGTAGGCAATCGTTCATACAATGTTTTGGAAATTTGTATGGACCGTAGACACTCGCCCATCTCCCCCTCTCCCTATAAAGTGTCTACGTGGTTTATGAACAACCCCTAGTTAGATTGCGCAGTAGATACAGCGAGTGTGCACCTATCATTGAAACTAGCTAAATGTATGCAATAAACTTATAATTGCATAAATGAAATGCGCTGAAGTATCGCTTTCAAAGCAACTTGCATGGGTAATTTTTGAAATGCTGCATCAATTGATGTTAATTATTAAAATAACATGGGAAAATTATACGATTATAACCAGAATACCAGCAATAATCTATTTATTTTTAAAAGAATATTTTGTACTCAATCTTTTTTTTTCGTCTCTTATTATTTATTTGGAGCATCCCACAACTATCCACAATAAAACAATTCACAGAGATTTTTAGTAGTTCTTCGTGAGAATTGTAGGGAAAAATCCAAGTGAATTATAGCGATCATTTTTACGGCATTTTACACGATTCATTTTTTTCAAGGCATGACACTATCAGGATGTCGACTGAATAATGAAATATAATTTCCTTGGTATACCCTGATTTTCCTGTCGTTTCCCTGAAAGAGTTCCATGCAGCGTTGAAATGATGGTAATAATAAAAGGAAATAAAAATAAATAAACACCTTGATTGATAAGTGTATTTACGTTTCTGCAATAATACATTACAGAAAAATTACAGGTTTATGGTTAAATTACTAAGTAAATTATAAAGCTCGTCATCCTGTAATAGGCATCATTTTTATAGTTGTGGTAGTTACACACGACTGAGCCTAGTAAATAAACGAACTAGTTTAAAAAAAAGTTGTGGTAGTTGCTGAACTTGGTTCCTATAATAGACGAAATTATTTTTATTGGATTCTACTATTCTAAAAACACTATAGGGTAAACGTTCCTATAGTTGCCGTACGTTAGAAGCGTTAGGTTCCTATAGTTGTATATTGAGTCTCCATACACAACTATACGAACCTAACGCTTCTAACGTACCGCTACTATAGGAGCGTTTACCCTATAGGTGCAAAAAAGAATTTTTTTATTAAAAATGTATTCGTTTTCGAGCAAGTATTGATCAATAAGTTTTAAATACTAGCTACTAGCTACTAGCGGGGAGCATGTTGTTCGTGAATATCTTTAAAATTTGATATTTAGTATATGGAATAATTATTACAAGCAATAACAGATCCAATAGGCGAATTTAAATAATATATATGATAATTAAATAGATTCAATAGACATCCAAAAACTACAATCGAGTTAAGATTTAAAAGAAAAATTTATAAGTGATATCAGATAAATTCATCTTCTATACCTAATAGCAAACTCAAACTATGAACATTTCAATGCTTACGAATATTGAAAATCTGTACAAATCCAGGATTTTCTCAAATCCTCCAACTCAAATATTTTTTTGGGGTCTGGAGCTGATCATACTGATAATGCTATGCCCAGATTTTTCAATTTATCTCCGTAAATACTGCTCTATTCGAGATTTGGAGGGTTTTAAGGTGTCAATTATTTTTTACAAATAAAAATGTCCCAACCCATTATTTTCAGGCTGGCGGGTATGAAAATCTTTAAATCAATTTATCTCCGTAAATACGGCTCCTATAGAGATTTGGAGGGTTTTTAGATGTCAGAAAATGTTTATTGTTTTATGATACTGATATTTATAGAAAAAATGCTGTGACGTGTGCGCGTAGATGCATGCGCGTAGTAATCCGATTGAATAAATAAATCCGTTTCGAACGGAATATCTATATTATGTAAGTTACGCGTTAGCGTTAGCGTTGTTATGATATACTTCGTAGATTGGATACTAGCGACAGTCACGTCTCTTCTGAAATTCTCAGTTAGACTACTTTCAGGAATAATGCTGGGGAGGTTCCAATCTAAACAAGAGTAACAGAAGCATGACTGTCGTTATTCCCGGGCACGCCCATCTTTACCATAACTAGGGATAGGGAAGGAAATGTTAATGTAGTACTTACTCAACGAGAAGCCACCGACTTAGCGACACCCTCATAAGTGCTACGGAGTTGGAGGGTTGGGTAGGGTATTCGGTAAGGATTCACCTCAAGTTGGCGATGCAACCAAAAGTATGTATTGTTTATTTGTTGTTTATTTAATCTCTCGATAGCCGGCTATCGAAAGAACATATTAATTTTGTTTAGTGATAATGAATTTTAAGAGTCATGACGGAGAGCTTGGGATTAAACCCATGATTTTCTGCTCAGTAAGCAAAAACGATCCCTCCAGGGTCATCGAGCATTTCAGAACCATAACGCTTCGCGACAATACAGGACTACGTTTTCGCTTGATATGCAAATAGTTTCCGAGGTTAATGTTCAATATCAAATATACAAATGAAGGTGGCGATTTATTTTGCTGTGGAAGAGCTTGGGATTACACCCATGATTTTCTGCTCAGTAAGCAAAAACGATCCCTCGAGGGTCATCGAGCATCTTATAATCCACAGCGCTTTGAATAACTATTATTTACGATAATTACATGAAATAAATAAAATATAAACTACAAACAAAGCGTGACTGCTAAAATCTCAAAAAGATATTCTCACAAATATATTTCACGCCACCAGGAATCTCAAAACCATTAGACGTTATAATGATACTATGCACATGTTAGACACAAGAAGAGACCAAAAAGCAAGCGTCCGACACACAAAACCCGTCAAATCTACTTGCAGTCACAATCAACGATTCTACGAATCGCGAGCGCTCACGAATCATAAAACCGCTGACTGCGACACTCTGAAAGCGAAATTGACAGGCTCTATGCGTCAAACACCCGCCCTCCAATCTCCTCCCGCATCCAACAGCACAAATCTCCATTAGAACATCTAACAAATTCAAAACTCCGAAAATCACTCATCTATAGCAAGTGAGTGGAAGCCACTCTGCATGCAACCATTTTTCATGATACACTTTTTCTGCCTATCTTTCTATTAGACCTGTGGACATGCGTTAGCTTCGACACTTCTAACCAAACTGGGTAAATTTTCAAATCACAAAAAAAAAACTTGAAAAAAACTTTCAAAGGTAATTACAAGTAAAATAAATATTGATTATTTTACGCAAAAACGAGCAAGTAATATTAAATCTCTTGTATCATATGCTAATGCAAATTGATTGTAACAACAATAATACCTTCTTCTTCTTATTCGCATTTCAAGCTTATTGCTTAGGGCATATTAGCTTATTGCGTGGTCTCAACTTAGCTTTCGATGCCAATACCAATGCATGCATACCAAGCACAATGATACTCTATGCCCAGGGAAGTCGAGAAAATTTCCAACCCGAAAGATTCCCTCGACCGGACCGGGAATCGAACCCGCCACCTCCGGCTTGGTAATACCGTGCCTTTACTGACTAGGCTATGAGACCCCATAACAACAATAATATGCATACATAAAATAAAATATTAATAAAATGATATGTAAAATTTACAAGAAGATCGTTACTTTATTGGTGAGAAGTTTTTAATAAACCCTCCCAGTTCCTCTGTATACAGAACAAATCTGATACTATAATCAGAATTGCTCAGTCTGCATGAAGCAGCCGATTTCATCAAGGAAGTTCTATTAACAACCAAGAATTAATCGTTTGGGGCATACTGAAGCATTAAGAAGGTGATATGTGTCACTATAGGAAATCATCATCGTTGCAAATATAAAGAAATTAAACATAACCCTTTGCTTCAGTACCGTCAACCTCCATGTCCATGGGGAGGGGATATCTATATTATGTAAGTTACGAAAACCACGCAAATTCCAAACGCCGTGAGAAACAACCGAAGCGAGAAAAAAGGCTTATTATCATTTCAAAAGTGCCACCAAACTGAATATGATAGCCTATGTTGGCAAGTTGATTAATTTTGGTTTCTTCTCTAAATATTCTACTAATTTTACTATTGTTTCAAATTAGTTATTTTACCGCACGTATCACTGATTTCAAAATTTCGCTACCGTACCGAACAAACACTAAACTACATAAGCTAAAAAAAACTTTTGTCAAGCTCTACCGAATTGCGAATCACTTCTGCGTAAGCTCCGTAGACGTAGACGCGTTGAGTCCGACAGCCGCGAAAAGTTAAACATGCATCAAGATCGATTTTACAGTTACGTAGGGTTTAATTCATAGATTAACATTGGCTTCTGTTTACAAATGTAAGTACTTGAACAAAAAGAAATAAGTTAATTCAAATGCTTTAACCGCATAT